TTTCTAATATCTAACACCATGTTAAACATGATTACTCATCAATTTACTTTATATTTGTTTTAATTTTTTATTTTTTTTGTATCAGTGAATTATTTAATTGGTCCACCTATACAAATAACTTCTTATCAAATTGATGCATTGGAGATACTAGTTTCATTGAAATTTCTAGTCTTTTAACAATATTCCAATTTGGATTAACATTACAATCACTAATTGACATGTGTTAAAAATAATGGTCTTTCACACGTATAGCATTGGAGATGCTCTAAGGATGATTCTAACAAAACTTCTAGTCAAGAACATGTTGAGAGTGTGGTTAGAGAGGTGAGTAAGACTATTGAGGGAAGAGATAAAGATAAAAGTCATGAGGTAAGAGTACAACCTTTCAAAGTAGGAGGAACAAGTGGAAGCCAAATCAAAGGAAAAGAAAGGGATAAGGGGATTGAATGTAGACCTAGTAGTGACCAACCTCAGGCTGAAATTTTACAAAATACTTCATAATTAGTGGAGGTTGATATCTAGGATGCTAATATAGGGGGAAGAATTGTTCAGAGAAAGAAAAACACTTTTGTTAGAAAACCTATGATTGGTAAAGATGAGAATGTTGAAAGTATGATAATATCCAATTTTGGATATAAATTGTTTTGACTTTTGTATAGAAGTACGGTTTAAGTTTAGGGGTAGTGATGAAACTCAGTGGGCCATTTTTGTGAAAGCTAGTGTTGATCCAGACATCCAGAGGAAAGACAATTTAACACTATGTTTGGTTCGAGAAAAACTGAGGGGAGGGGAGGGGAGGGGAGGGAATTTTATAATTTTCCCTTGTTTGGTTCAATTTTTTGTAGGAGGAAGGATTGATATTTTCCCTTCAAATCCCTCCTCCAAGGGAAAATCTCCTCCCCTCCAAAAGTGGAGGAATTTGGAGGGGAGGAAAAATTTTTAACACATAAAATGACTATATATCCTTTATGTATAAATTATTTTATTATTTTGTTTCTTACATCATTAAGGATATAATTGTTATTTCTACAATATTTTCCTTCCCCTCCATTATTCTAACCAAACAAGGTTTACCATTTTCCCTCCACTCCCCTCCTACAAAATCCCTCCAAATCCCTCCAAACAAGGTAAAATTATTTTACATCACCTCCCCTCCCCTCCCCTTCCTTCCATTAAAATCTCTCCCCTCAGTTGAACCAAACATAGCCTAAGTGAATTTTTTTTTTGAAGGAATAAAATGATGTAGATGGATTTGTGGTTCTTAGGGGGTATTTCAATAATTTACTGTCAAACTAGGAAAAGAATGGGGGTTGGCTGAGAGAGGAAGCAAATTTTCATAATTTAATAACCTTTGTAAGATATATGGGCATGAGGGTACAAGGATTAGTGGACATCCTTTCACTTGAGCTAATAATAGACAGGGGAGGGAGTTTGTTGAAGAAAAACATGATAGATTTTTTCTTCCCCAAAGTGGAATTTTATGTTCCCTAATTCCTTGGTTAAACACATTTCTGCAGCATCCTCTAACCATAGTATGATTGTTTTGGAGAAGGATTTCACTAGGGAAGTTAGTCAGAAAAGATTTTCCTTTGACTCTAGACAAATTATGATGGAGTGATTTGAGCACACATTAGAAAAAAGCTTGTAATTTACCTGTTGAAGGCCCTGAGTTGATTAGCCTTCAAGGAATAATTGGAAATGTTGGGCCTGCTCTATTAGGGTGAAAATCTTTAAATGTTCATAACTCAGCTAAAGTGATCAAACATTGCAAACATAAGTTGAATACTTTGGGGCAACAGAGAGGAAACATAGATTGGAGTAAATGGAAAAATTCTAAAGAACCCCTGCACCAGGCTTATGAAGAAGAAGAGTTGTTTTCGAAGCAGAAATCCAAAGTTCTTTAGTTAAAAGAAGGGGATAAAACACTAAATACTTTCAAGCCAGTGTTAAACAAAAGAGAAGGTTAATAGTCTGGATAATCTTGTTAGGTCTGATGGTAGGAGGTGTACAAATATTTAGGAAACTCTGGAGAAATCATAAATTACTTTGAGTCTTTGTTCAAAACTTCAAACCCATTGGATGAGAATTATAATCTAAATGGTGTCCCAGTTACTATAACTTAGGACATGAACCAACACTTAACCAGAAATGTTGTTGATGGGGAGATTAAGAAATTCTTGATGGAAATGGACCCTAATAAAACCGAGCTGATGGTGAGACCCCTCTATTTTTTTTAAAATTCTTGGAAAACCATTAAACATCATTTATGCCTGGTTTGTTTATATTTCTTTAATAAAGGGAGATTCCAAAATCCATTAACCTTACTGTGATCACTCTCATCCCAACAAAGAAAAACCCCTTGAAAACTACATATTATTAACCTATTAGTTTATGCACTGTTGTTTATAAAATAATAGCCAAAATAATTGCAAATAGATTGAAATTTGTTCTTCATGTTTCCATCTCTAACTCTCATGATGTTTTTTTACCTGGTGGAAAAATTTTGAATAATGTAATTATATCCATTGAATGCATTAATTTTCTAAATAGTAAAAGAAAAGGCAAAAAGTGTTTCATGGTTGTTAAGTTTGACATGGCCAAAGCTTATGTAGAAAATTACTCCTCTTACTAATCATTTGGCAAATAATGCTATAAATAAGAAATGTTAAACTTTTCATCACAAATACGATACAAGAGGTTTAATATCTCATCGCAACCTCTCTCTCTCTCTCTCGATCGAACTCTCGAACTTTCTCGCAGCCACTAGATGAGAAGTTCTTAATGATTGTTTGTCCTAATTTCATTGTTTTAGTTCTCATATTTCAATAAAAAATTTGCCCCAGAGACTTCTCCTCATCTTTCAATCAGAAGTTCACCGCGATTGATGTGTGGCTCGCCGGCGTAGCCCCGACAGCGCTCGGCTGCAACATGTAGTCCCCCACCTGGGGGCCCGCTACCGCCGGTGGCGGCTGAGAAAGTAGGAGACGTCCCCGTCCATCTTCTTATGTCCGATTCGTCAAGTATCATTCAATTTCCTCCATTTTTTTTTCTTTTTTGGATTTTTTTCTCAATCTGTCGATCGACTTTTGAGCAATGTTATGATTCACCCATGCAACGTCGAAGATGCACCAGGGCTCGTTGAGGAGATGAAGGGGTAATGTTGGGAGTAGTGAGGTCAATCAATCCCGTTTCAAAATTGTTTATATGTTGTTTATCTTATGTATAACTACATTAGATTTGGATTTTTGTAGTCATTCAAAATTGTGTATTATGTTTAATCCCGTTTCAGAATTGTTTATGTATTGTTTATATTATGTATAACTATACGGTTAATAATATAGAACTGCCATATCATGTTTATGTGAACATATATTTGGTGGTTGGACGATTCTTTTTTTTTTTTTCGAATTCAANTCGACCGAATTCTTTTCTATTCCCAATCCCATATCGTGATTTTTTAAAAAAAAAATGAAGGAAGGGGAGATCTCGACTGAATCGGGCTTTGTAAATCGATCTCCAGAAATATGAAATTATATCTCATAATTTTGGAATGATTTTTTTGGTAAATATGAGGTTAATTGCGTCAGTTACGAAGGAGTGGATGGCTGCAAGATTCTTGGGATTCTTGGGATTAAAGTGATAAATCATATTTTCTATATTATTTGCATAGACAAATCCTGATATGATAAAACTTCTATTATATCGTAAAGATGAAATTAAGATGACTAAGAGTTATAGACGTGTAAATTTCTCAAGCTTATGATAGAGTTGAATGGGTCTTTTTTCTGTCAAAAGTGTGTAAGAAATGGTTTTTTGCGATACTTTCATTTCCTGGATCTATTCTTTATTTGTTCTAATTCATTCTCCTTCAACATTAGTGCTAAGGTTTTGGGATTTCAGCAACCTACTAGAGGACTTAAATAAAGGGACCATCTGTCCCCTTACCTTTTCATCATTTTGTCAGAAGCCTTTTTTAATCCTTTAAGGCAAGCTAGTAGCAGAAATTCGCCTATAACAACTCATTCATTATGATTCCATCCTTTTTTGTCAAGATGATGTGGAATATGCTCTATGTTGAACATTTTGTCGAATATGATTTTGCTTCTTATCAGTTGGTTAATCGGTAAAAGTCCTAAATCTTCTTCTCTAAAAACATTTTGGATAGTATCACGACTGAAATTCGTAGTGTCCTCAATGGAATCTCTCTTGTCAAGTCAACTAAGTACTTAGGTCTTGCTATAAGGATAGGATGAACTAAAAAGGAAACTCTCAAATTTGCAAGTGAGTGTGTGTTTAGTAGAATATCTAGCTGGAAAAACAACTTTATGAGTGAAGTAGGGACAAAATTTTTTATCAAAACAGTCATTGGAACTCTTCTCAGTTATGTCATTTCTTGTTTAAAAGTCATGTTTCAGTTTGTAATGACATTTGTAAAGAGGATGCAAGGTTTTGGTGGGGTAAAAATTAGGGAGATAGAGGTAAAATACAATGGGCCAGTTGAGATAAATTAGCCAGACTCAAGGACATGGGGATATTAGGGTTCTTGAACCTTAGAGCTTTCAATGAAGTTTTAATAGTTAAACAATTTTGGAGGATTATTACTCAGACCGACCTTCTGATGAGTGAAGTGATGAAAGGTAGGAATTTATCCAATCAGAAACTTATGGAAGTTAAGCCAAAAAATGATGATTCCTGATTGTGAAATAGTTGGTTAGGGGCTAGAGAGTCTTAGAAACTGGGTGCTAGTTTCCAAGTATGGGAAGAGAAATCTATTCATATATGGGATTCTCTTTGGTTGCCTAATAATTCTTCCTGTAGTCTGTGTATCATTTTCAAGGGGATAGAAATAGAGTAAATTGGGTCTGCAATTAATAGGTCATGGAGGGAGAGAGTGTGATAAGAAGCTTATTCTTCAAACTTATAATCCTTTTGGAGATGAGAGACAAGTTGATCTGGCATTTTGAAATA